TCAGCTGCGGGAGCAGCGGAGAGTTTTTCGCTCCTCCTCCTGCCACCGGCTCGCTCCAAGACGCCGAGCGTGAGATTTGGAGACCCAAAGCCCTTCCTCAGCCTGGGCCTGTTCCTGGCCCCAGAGCGGAGAAGGCAACGAGCGGCGCTCGTTACCGCCGCGGCCTGGGCTATGCTTGGAGAGCGTCGCTCCTGTTCTCATCAGAAAAGGAAAACACGATTTCTTTTGCAGAAAATGGAAAGGGTTTTGCCAAACAGGGTCACTTTTCCCTCCCTGACACCCAGAAAAGTGCTTCCTTCCAGAACAGCGGGAAAGGCTTCTTCTTGCTTATCTTATCAAATATTCCTACACGGAAAGCAGAAAACCGGCCGACACCAGCCCCGCACGCAGCCTGCCCACCCCCCAGCCCAGCCCCTCCCGCCCAGCGCGGGGTCTTGGGTCCCTCGGAGCCTTTCTCCTCCCCTGAACAGACCCCTCGCCATCCCTCCCTGCCTTCCCTAAACCCCGCACCACAGACAACCGGCGTGCAGGGTGCAGCTGGAAGCACGGGTGACAATGTCATCATCCCTTCCTGATTTTAAGAAACTCACCCAAAACGCCGACCGGGCGAAGGCGAACCCGAAGGACGGCTGAGGCGGCCGCCAGTTTTGGTCCTGCAGAACAAAGGCCAGCGAGCTAAGGAAACATTTTCCTGGGATTTTTATTGATTTCACATTCAGAGCCGGCAGCGTACGCACTGCGCTGTCACGCGCCGGAGCGCGGAACGCACACCACGTCCCGTGCGTCGCAGGTCTGAGGCTACTGGAAAACACCAACTTTACAAAATGACAGTAAAAGGGTAAAAATTTACCCTCAACTGGATAAAAAAAGCAAAGAACTAACAACAGGTTGGTTGAACATCCCTTTTTAAATAGGTCTACACACAAATAAAAGCGTTAGTCTTTAAGGAAACATGCTCCACGAGATGTAAACCGGCAGGATGTCTGGGAATGGGATTTCTTCCCGGAGCTCCCGTGGCTCTGCGAGGGGTGGTGTAACTTCCCTCTGCCCGAGCACGCGGAAGCCATGCTGGAGACAGTGGCTCCCTACACCTTCACACATCAGACAACGAACGTGCTTTGAGAGGAACCATTTCAGGCAGAGTAGATGTTTCGATACAGAGAGCTTAACAGGCTTCTCCTGCTGATGGTGTTAGACAATTAACACACACGGGCCCCGTCAAAAACAATTTAAGCTCCAAAGCTGGTAAGAAAGGGTCTTAAAGACTTTCATAAAATCATTCACAATGCAAATCTCTTAGGTTAAATATGTATTTTAGCGATATTTTACTAACAGAATAAGTAACTCCTCACTGTATAAACATATCCCTTAAAAATACCAGCAGTAGTGAACACCTTGGTAACCAGCAGAGAGGCAGCACACCGGCACGAGCCGGCCACGTGCCAGTCCTGGGAAAACAAAATGCAAGAGCTCTGCTCCGCTACCACGGTCTGCAACAGTTTCACTCATTTTTCCAAGAAATCTATTTGCTGAGAAATTTAGAATAAGGTGTATTTTTATTAGCTTATCCGAGCCCGACACGATTTCAGTGAGCGCTGAACATGGGGCCGAGGGTGGCTGTAATGTCGGCAAAGGGAGCGCTCTGGCTGAGCTCGATAACCGACTGCTTCTTCAGAACAAGCAAGAGGTAGAACTTGGCCGCGGCTTCTTTCCGGCTGTTTTTCCGACAGAGCTCCCGTAAACTGAAGGAACGCACGCCTGATCTCTGCAGGTGCTGCGTAAGGGAAAGAAGAGAATCAGTCAGGTCAGCTTCACCGCCACTGAAACCAGATCCCATCAAGTCCAGCAGCGTGCCCTGGGTGCCCAGAAGGGCAGTGGGATCCTGGGGTGCATGAGGAGGAGTGTGGGCAGCAGGGCGAGGGAGGTTCTCCTCCCCCTCTGCTCTGCCCTGGGGAGGCCCCATCTGCAGTGCTGGGTCCAGTGCTGG